TCGGGAGTGTGCCGCTATGGAGCCTGGCGCGGTTGTTTCCCATTCGGCTTCGTTGGAGAGTGGTTACCTTTGCACGAGCGGGGCGAGAGCGAGATGACCTTGGTAGAGCAGTTGTGGTACGGTGGGTTCGGTGCTGCTGGTCCTCGGGGAGGCTCGGAGCGTGTGGGAAGTCTCGCAGCCCTCTCCCGGTTAGCGCGGGTGATGTGTTCTAGGGGGTTATTTGTGTTTCTCCATAGAGATGGTTCAGGATCCCTTTGTAGGTTAGCTTCTTTTTCGTGAAGAATCACGGAGGATAAAGCAGAACTTGAGTTTCTTGCATCTCAACTGCAAAGCTGCCAGGTTCCACCCAGAATTGAACTCGCTTTCAGGGCGTGTGTGTGATGTTTCTGTGGGTACGTTTGTTTGTTTTTCTTTGTTTTAAATCAGTGCTTTAATCTATAGCACGTTCTCTTAAGAGCATCTTCAAACCCTACTTCAGCTATTGTGGCTGAATGCTGAATAGGTAAAGACGAAACCTGGAAGGAAGCCTAAGAGATCTCAGTGATAAGGATGTATTCTAAGTCACACAGGATCAGCTCATCCTAAATTGATCCTAAAATTAACTTGAAACCATATCAGGTTAATAAGCCCAAATGGCAGTGTAGGATTTAAGTAGATGCTGAACTATTTGTACCTGTGAGAGATTTGAGTCTGGCTTATCTGAAAAGAAAAAGCTTAAAATGAGCTATTGTGTGGTTCATCCTATTGCAGCATGTGCAAATCCTTCTACTTGCTCAGTCAGCAGATACTCTTAATATCAGTTTGTGGAGGATTCATTCTGCTTAGCTGCTATATCATACATTGTGCCCTGTTCGAAATGGCATTCTCCTTACTGGAATAAAAGATCATTTTCACAAGCTTTTGTCTTCTGTGACTTCTGTTTTTCTTTTTTTCTTTTTTTCTTTTTTTAATTTTTCCCTAATTTAAAACCAGTCTTTTGGGTAACGACTGTCACCAACAGACATCTCGCTCTTTTTTGGCTACCACTGGAAAGGATGAAATTACTACAAAGGACTCGTAATCTGATAAAATGTGCCACTCCCATTGCTGTGCTGCTCTGGCTGCTTTACTGTAGGGTAGTGCTGAGAACACGTCAGTGAATACTTGCTGAAATGCAGGGTGGGTTTGTGCTCTTTAAGAGCTGTGAATAACTGTACTAATACGCAAATTGTGTAACTAGCCACCCATATTCCAAAATAAGACATTCCTTCAGCAAGAAATTCTTGGAAGAATGGTATGTGGTCTGGAAAACTTTGTGCTTAGCTGAATGAGAGATTCGAATTCTACTCTACAGAATAAAACCCTCATTGCAGCCCGGTGTGTATGGTTTTCTTACCTTGCAAAAGCAATTTTGCTCTTCTTTTTTCTTCTTTCGGAGAAAGAAGACCTTGAAAGTAATTTTCGCAAGCCTAAATTAAGCAGCTTTTCTGGAACTTCTGCTGTAATACGCACGGGGTGCATGTGTTTTAATGTCAAGTTCTGCGAGGCTTTAGGGAGATCAGTATATGATGATTTCTGCACATTAACAGTTTCTTGTGGATACCAGATGGTTTTTTCTTTCACTAACAGTGTCTCAAAGGAGTAAAAATGTTAGATTTAAGGACAAGGTTCACCTTGTCTGTGGAAGCAGTAACAGAGGTTAATATTTGACTATGTTAATTTGTGAAAAATAGCTAATAAAAAATCAGTCTCCTAATAGAAACTGGGAGAAAGAATAGGCAGGAACTTCATTCCTGACAGCACAGTGGTTGCGCTCCACAGTTGGTGCAGCTGAAGCATGTCAGGCTGGTGTACTCATACCCTGCTCACTGTCAGCCACTTTCAAGGAGTTACTAATGCAAGGGTAGTGTCTTAGCATTCTGAACATGCTCTTGATCACAACACCTTTCCTACAATATTTCTTTGCTTCTTTTCTCTCTGGAGGCTTTTATTTAGTGAACGGCTTTTTCAGTGAGAGCGCTATCCCTGTACTAAACAAAGCTAAGTACTGTTCAGTAATTCAGATAAGTTTTTCTTGGTTCTTTACCTTCTTTTCAAACTGATGGCATGCACAGCAGTATTAACTGGTATCAATGAGACAAGACATTCCAGATTCATGACAGTGTCACAGCAGTGCAGGTATCAGAGGATTGATTGTTGAGGCAGTGTCCAGTTAACAAACAAGGAGTGTCCCTGTGTCCTGAGAGCTTCACAGCACGGCACCCCTGACTCCCACGCAACTAGTTTGGACTAGAACTGAATTGTACAACAGAGAGTAGGAGACCATGGCTGTGTTGCTCTGCATTCATGCGTGGGGTTTATCCATCCTTTTTTTAAGGTAGGGTTGGAGGAGGTGGCCTTCCTGGAAGCAGTAGGGATCCCATTTTAGTTTCTGAATGATCCAGACTGTTCTGAATGTGTTGGAAAGGTTGAATCTATTACCAAAGAAGTTTTGATGTAATTGGCAGGTTAGGTTAAAAGAAAGAAATCGGTATCATTTGAGGAGCTGTTTGTGCTCATAGGGAAAAAGTCATGGCTGGAGGAGTGTTCACAGTGCTCGTTTGCGATGATTAGTTTTCACAGTGTAGTTTCCTTTTAATGGAAACAGTATAAACAAGCTACACATGGGAGCAGCTGGGTTTTAGCGGTGGCAAAATTCATTATAAAGTTGAATGCAGAAGTATCTATAATACGGATTTGGTTTTTCCAATGGGCTTTTAACACTGTGCGTTGTTTGTATATCACTGATACTCTGAATAGTTAGTGCTTGCTGTAGTACTTCAAGCGTTGGAGTAGGACAGGAGTTGTGTAAAGGTTTTATCCCGTTAGGTCATGTTTTTGGTACATTTATTTCCAAAACAGTGTTTGCAGGAAAAATAAAAACAGCATGGAACATGTAATGCCACGTCCTCTGATGCAGATCATAGTGATACACTAACAGAGGGTGAAAGGACTTATGAAGGGCTAACTCCCCTCTCAGAGAGAGCTTAGACGAGGTTCCCAAGGCTCATCCACCTGAGCTGTGAATGCCTTCAAGGCTGAAGGTTCTACCATGTCCCAGGGTTTGACTACCCTCCTAGTGATTTCTTTCTTCTTTCCCTACAGGTAGCAGTTTGTGCCTCTTGTCTTCCTGTTCTTTGTATAAGTGCCTCAGAGTCTTGTACTTTGCCTTCACCATCCCATTACTGCTGTCTACTGAAGATCCTTGCAAAGCCTTCTCCTCTGAAGGCTGACCAGGCCAAGGTCTCTCAGCCTCTCTCGGTATGTCACTGGCTCCAGACACCTCCAGTCATCTTGGTGCCTCTTGGGTAGTCTTGCTCTTGCTCTTGGAGTCTGTGTTCCGACCCCAAGTTCATACCTTATGCTCTGTTATGATTTAGGATTGTTAAACTTCAAGGCGTCGTAACACGTGTGGGGTTTCTGTGTAACCATGATTTAAACTTTTTTGCTGTTGTTGAACTATTGCAGCTGAAAATAGCTTGGGAGGAGAAATCATATGATGAGATTTTAAGACAAGGATCTTGTGGTTGTTTTTGCCTTCAGTATCAAAACAAAAATACTTTAAACAGGTCTTATTTTCAACCTTAGATAGTATCTGCTGGTTTTAAGGTCCTTCTTAGCAGTTGTTTGTAAAAGCAGGTTTAACAAAAGCCAGAAGAACTTAGGATGTTTTTACAAATAGAAGGAATGGAAAAAAGCTTTCAAAACTCACTCCTGAACATAAATTTGAACATTGTTTTAAACTCCGAGGTTGCTCTAGTTGAAAAGCTTTAAAGGGATTCAGTTGGGCAGGGATGTGAAAGCATTTATCTTGTAGACTTTTGCAGACCCTTTTCAGATTCTCATGTGCATCATCTTCGTGTTCTCTGCTCTTGTAACTTTCCCTTGTCTTTTTCTTCTCCAGGAATATGAAGAAAAAACTGGACGAGCTCACAAACCGCTCTCTCCTAAACAGAATGTGAGGAAGAATCTTGATTTTGAACCACTCTCCACTACAGCACTTATTTTAGAGGACAGACCAGCGTAAGTTTGGGGAAGCACCACAGTGAGGGTCTCCTTAAAATTTGTCTAGAGATGCTTTTCTTACTGTGTATGTTTGATGACTCAATGATTTAAAATTTTAAGTAGATTTTTTGCAGGCTGATGAATATGGTAGTGGGATGACTATGAGAAAAATGACTCAAAAGTAACTATTTTATAATAAAGGCAGTGGCCTTGTATGACAGGAGGTAATTCGGAGAGCAGAGGTCTAGTTTTGAGTAATTCTACCTTCTAAACATGAATAAGGGATTTTTATTTTCCCTGAGAGAATGTAAGCATAAAGGTGAAGCTGGTATATGCTACAGAAATTGAGAAGCAAGGATACAGTGTCCTGTTTACACAGAGAAAGACCACACCTCCATAAATAATGAAACACCGTAATGATTGTTCTGCAGTGGGTTCAGCGTTCGTTGCATTTTAAAGGTTGTCAAGTGCTTGGTAAATTGTTTCATGCTTCTGTTGCTGCAAGGATATTCTCGTAGATGCAGCCTAACTCCATAGCAATTCACTGGCACCTGCTTTACTGTGATTTACTTCCGAATTACACAGTTTCAGTTATGTTTAGCCTGTTTCTGAATGACACCCAGCTTTATAGGCATGGTGTCTGAATTCTAATATAGCTGTGCATTGGTGTAAAGAACTGGCATAGCATAGGCTTGTGTTTTCATCAACGAATCTGTATGAAGAATGCTGATATCAAAGTAGTCTAGTTGAAGGGTTATTTAAGACACTTTTTGGCTTGACTGGTAGACTGTTACAAGACTTTTTGGGACATTTGGAACAACGTGCTAATGATTATTTCTTAAAGCAGGTTTTATAACGTACAGCTGGAAACAACAGATACTAGCTTATTTGTTGTGTTTAAAACCTGTCTGTTAAAAATCATGCTTCATGAGAGAGAATCTGAGAAGTACAGCATTCAGGCAGATTATATGAGTGATACATTGCAGGATAACGGTCAGATTTTGCTTTCTTTCCTACTGGTGATAGACTGAGGAACTTGTAGCAGAAAAAGTATTAAGGTTCTAGACAACTGGATCATCGTGTCTTTTACCTAGTAGGGAAGACTGTTCTGGACAACAGTGCAGTCCTCTGGTGACTTTCAGCAATCTTTTTTTAGTAGTTTACTTTATTCTTTTTATTTCCTTTGACAGAAAGATTTAAGACTTCCGGAAGAAAAATTCAGTGAGATTTTTTCCAAACTGCTACTCTTGATTTTGCACTCACTTGCAGGGTTTGTTAGTTGAATCTTAACTAGATACTAAACATAGAATGGTTTGGGTTGGAAAGGGCCTTAAGATCATCTAGTTCCAACCCCCCTGCCATGGGCAGGGACACCTCACACTAGACCATGTCGCCCAAGGCTCTGTCCAGCCTGGCCTTGATCACTGTCATCTCACATATGTGGTGATGCTGTTAAGAGATAGGACAAATAATTTAAGTGGTGGAATTTAAGTTAACAGAACGTACATTGTTTCATCTGGTTTTACTTTTCAAACTTTTCCTAACTCACATCACTTCTAAAGATTTGGGTTTTAAAAAGATGCTGGTCAATTTACATAAATGAAACTGGAAAAGGAGTAGATTGTTCTCTGTGGTTAACAAAGCCACTAATGTGAAAATCCACTTTCCCTGTTCTTGTGATAATCTTGATTTTAAAGGTACTCATAGACATGTATCACACAGCTGTGCATACTTTACAAGTAATATGATTGTGTAAATAATAAAGCATGCTACTATTAATGGTGACTGTGTTGATGGCTAGCAGCTGCCTTATGTGTGGCACGTTGCAGGAATGGGAAAGTGAAGGCATGTATTTTTTATTAACCAAAGATATAAAGTGTGCTAGGAACACATTACAGTGTTCTACAATACAGAAGAACAAAGTACTTAGTCATTTCCTATTCTGATGTTTTGGTGATCCTGTAGTTGTATGAGATATGTAGTGGTTATATTAATTACACGTATGATTAGCTTTGTGTGGTCTGACATAGGAGCATGTGGATTTGTATGGCAGAGATGTTGCTAGTCCAGGCCTTAACCACAAATCAAAATGGCTGAGTTGGTAATGGGAGCATGTAGAGGATGACTTCAGTGCCACTTGTTACTGTAAAAGTGAGGGGGATGAGTTAAGCCTGTAAAACAGAAATGGGGCCTCAGAGAGCCGAGGGGAAAAAGAAGCTGGTGTAGGGAGTCATTACTGCATGGAAAGTTGTGAGTCTAACACTTTTAAACAAGGTGCATACTAAGAGAGAGTATGGTCTTGTCTCTTATTGTAGATATGTTGTATATCTACAATATATACTTGTATCTTATTTGTAGAGATCAGTTTAAAACAAAACTACCAGCTTGGCATATACCACTATAGTCCCTTTGTTTATGAAGATCAGCCTGTGGGTTCAGTTGGTTCAATAATAAAAATGCTGAAATTACCAAACATAAGGAAATTACTCAGCATATTTTGTGTATAAAAGTAGTCAGAGCTGGTCAGTGTTCTTTCCTTCTCTTCTGCTGACTCTGGCAACAAAAATTTCTTTCCAAGGATGTGTTGCTCTGTTCTTTGATCAAGTATTTTGGCAGGAGCAGTGTATGTTTTCCTTTCAGAAGGGTCTAGAAGTTTCTTCAGACAGGCATGCCAACTTTAAATACTGATTATTATTCTTTTAAATTCAAGGAACCTCCCTGCAAAACCTGCAGAAGAAGCTCAGAAACACAGGCAGCAGTACGAAGAAATGGTGGTTCAAGCAAAAAAAAGAGGTGATGGAATTTCTTGCCTTCAGAGGAGAGAAATGAAGTTAAGGGGTATTTCTAAACCTGAAATGCACTTGTGTCAGTCTGTTGCTCTGTAACGTGAGGGATCTGTACTTCCTCTCGAAGAAGAATCAATCCAGAGAAGAGAGAGGAATGAAGGTAGTTTTATTAAAAAGCCCGACCCCAAGCTGAAACAGTCCTAGAATCCAGCAGAATAAATGAGTGGCATTTGGGGGTTTAAACACTTACTAATATATCAAAGTAGTTCGGTCAGATTAGTGAAGACTAGAATTATTTAGATAACAGCAGGATATTTGATAGTTTATTGTTGGGATCAACCTGTTCAGGCTGTAGTACATAAATACATAATTTACCATGTGGGAAAATGGACATAGTTATTTGGTAATCTGCCTCCCACTTCAGACTTACGGTTTTCCCAAGTTTTTTCTCGTCATTTCTTGTCTGACATTGTTCACAGAGGTGTCTCAGTAACATTGTACCATGCGTGTCAGGTGGAGGTGACAGCAGTGGTTTCCTTCTGCTGATATTTTTTTACCATCTGGGTTTTCTAATTAAAAACAAGCAGTGCAGTAATAGGGAATTTAGACTCATCGAAGTTGTGTCCAGTGAGAACTACTGGAAATAATTGAGAAGTACTGAGCCAAAAGAAAGGACATATGAACAGAAAGGTGATAAGAACACAGGATTTGCTTGCTTTCTGCAGTTGACGTATTAATAAAAGTATCCTTTTGTGGGTTTGAACATGGTACACCTACCAGTGAAGTTCATGTGACTCCCATGTTAGTATATCCACTTAACATGCAGTAATGCAAAGGGATTTTCTCTGTTTTCTTTGCACAAAGAGTAGATGGATTGGGAGAAATGGGTTGATGCTCAGGTTAGGCAATGGGCTGCGTCCTTGTGCTCTCTTCACTGGACTTGAGTATGTCATTCTGTCCAGATGAATACCCTGACAAACCTGTTTTCCCCAAAGCCAATCCAGATGAACAGCTTTGCAGAGTTATGTATTGTGTAGAGGTCAGGAAATCAAAGGATGTAAACACCCTCTTTTTGTTTAGAGAAAAAATCAAAGCCTGCATTTAGGCAGCCTTACAAAATGCTCGTATCAAAGCAAATACTATGAGGCAGTTGGTACAATTCTGCTCAGGCACAGCTTCTGTTGGGCTTTAATATGGACCCATCGGCTTGTATGTATTCATTCCAAAGACCTTGTTCATGGAACTGCTGTTCTTTGGTTAGTTTTCCTTGTTGGGTCAGTAGCTTCCTATATTGTAGACTCTGTGTGTGTGTGTGTGCATGCACATGTCCTAACAAATTTTCCAGTGGGAAGAAAAGTAGTTGATGATGCAAGAGGAAATACTGAGAGATAATGCAAAAATGTAAAATACGTTTAAACTAACATGAAAACTGCTTTCTTTTTAGGAACTGAAGGTTTACAGTGTGTATATATACCTGTGTTGTATGACATTTAGATTAACCACACGCTAAGTAGCATCAAAAATGTGGCTTTAGTGATTTCCTGACAGTTACCTTAATCATAATTGACAAGGACAACACGTGAGAGTGAAAACAAAATACAAAACTTGTATTATTTTATCCTGTATTTTTGAGTCGGCCATAACAAAAGGGGAGGGGCTTTATTGGGAAATACTCTGACCTGTCCTACTAGGGGGTGCTGTTGGCTGTCAGAGATGCTAAATCAAAGTTACTAATGTGGTTAGATTTGAAGGGTCAAAGGAGCCATATATTACCTAAATCCCTTTGTCCTGCCCATCAAAAGTGGGCCTAATGCATAGTTTGACTTTGTTGACATTTGGCATCACTACTTAGCTTGCCGTATGTCTGGGAAATGTTCCGAATTTGAACAGTACTTCTAGGTGAATACAGTGTGATTTTTACATGGCTGTATAGCTGTCACTAGCTAACTCTGGATATTTGGTTTCTGGTTTTATTAACTTAAGAAGGAAATCGCTTTTCTACAGAGCTTAAAGAAGCCCAGAAGAGAAAGAAACAACTGGAAGAACGCTGTAAACTGGAAGAGAGCATTGGCAATGCTGTTTTAACTTGGAACAATGAAATCTTGCCCAACTGGGAAACTATGTAAGGCAGTATGTTAGACTGTGTTTTAATTAAAATTGCTGAGTCTGTATCCTGAATAGTTATGAAATTAGCAAGTATAATTTAAAATGGTCGGGGATGCTTTTGTTTGAAAGTCACTTTCGGACAGCTACAAAGCATGAGCAACTTATATTTCCTTATTTCTGCAAGGTGGCTGGAAGTGATGCAGTTCTAATTCTTACTGTTTGTCTTTAATGGAGGTTTAGGATATACACAAACTGTATGAGTGCTGAGAAGTGATCTGTGGTAGAGAATGTAAAAGCAGGAAGCATGATGCTTAAACACCATGCATTTACCAGAAATGAGCTACTTGAGCTGTTGATGTTACGGTAGCAGATGTAGATTGAAGTACGTGTATGGTATTATGAAGCCTCTTTAATTATAGACTGCTATACCTGCTGGGATAATCAGTGATGGAAAGAGAAATAAGGAGAGAATTATTTTAAAAAAATAAATATTTAAGTGCTAAAAGATTTCCTGCAGAGACACAGCACAGGCAATTGGTAAGCTGTCTTCCCCATCTATAGTTTTGCATGGACTTTGCTAGTCATCTTAATAAAACCAGTCCCCCTGCCTTTGAATGTAACTACCACTGCCACAGCAACATACACCAACCTCCACAGCACTTTAATTGGTGCTTAGGTGCTATTCTGTTCCTCCTTCTGGACTCTCAGCTGATGAACATCAGCTGCAGCCGTTTCAAAGCCTGTGTTCTGTTAAAATGGCCTTAATGCTCCCACGTAAAGGTTATTACTTGTTAGTTACATCTTCATGCATTTTTTTCTGGAGAGCTAGAGCTGCAAAGCTGTGGGGGGAACTGCACATCTCATTTGTACAGGAGATGGTAGACCTCAGTAACTTTCTGTATTTTATCTTGCATGGAGATGTCCAGTCTTCAGGCAGTGGCATAGATACAGATTTCCTTTTCATTTGGTTGGTTTTGTCCCCTATGGTTCTTGCTGCTCAAATGTGACTGCAAATGATGGGTATTTTGATGGCAGTGCATCTGTCAAAATAAGCCATTAACTTGGAAGGAATTGAGCTTTCCTTCCAAGCACGAAGCAAAATAGTACTAAAGAATGGGTATCTGCAAATCACATTTGTCTTGTTGGCCTGTTGGTATTCATTTTGGTTTGGATCCCTTTACCAGTGTTAGGAGGACACGTGTGTAATTCAGCTGGCAATGGAATATTCCTTGGAATAATCCGTTTTCCTTTAAACAGGTGTTGTTCCCGTAAAGTGCGAGAGCTGTGGTGGCAGGGCATTCCACCCAGTGTGAGAGGCAAAGTCTGGAGCCTGGCAATTGGCAACGAGTTAAACATCACCCATGGTGAGACTGTTGTTTTGTCTGCATTGTCTTACAAAGAGAAATAGTACAGGGACAGTTCTGCATTTGTTGTGGTGTATCAGAACGTGGGGTGTGGGTGTGAGGAGATGTTATCTAGTTATGCTCTTTTTGAGTTGCTTTGAAGTGTTTTGTTAAAAAATATAATGTCTTTTAATCTTTTAGCTGCTCTAGGACTGCTGCTGTGAATTGTTTTGATTATTGTTGTCATTGTGGCTTGCTTTGATGTTAGATGGAGATGGTGGGAATTAATGACTCAAGCTTTTTTACTCTTTTTGGAACTGAGAATTGTTAATTTTCAGTGCCTGTGAGTGTGCATATAGCATGCTTCCTTTGATCTAGAGCAAGGCAGTGGGTTTGTGAGAGATTAAAAGAGCTCTGGGAAAATTTGTACTTTTGTTTATGTGTGTGTTTGTGAAAATGGAGGTAGTGTGCTATTTCAGAGTGCAGAAAAACACCGCTCTGAAAGACTAACACAGGAAGTTAATTCCAACGTGGGAATGCGACAGACTGCCTGTACTGCTCGGGTACTGTGCTACTTTTCTGTGCTTGGCTCAGTTACCTTTGGTGTAGTTCTTCCATGGAATTTGCTAGACCTATCCCAGTTATCCCATCAGACTATAATTTTGACCATCAGTGCCCTGTAAGAAAAGTAATTACTTCAACATAAAAGGCAACCTGTGCCTAGATTGCCTTTCCTTTGCACTTAATCAGAAGTTAGTGGAACAGTCTTTTGGAACCATGACCTGCTTAGAAAGTTCAACTACTATGTTAGTTTCTTGTAACTACGGGGACAGCATTGCTCATGTGGTAGGTAGCTGGTACCAGACTGGACATGAGCATATACAAATCATGGACTTGGTTTTCTGTTTTTCTCCTTCCAGAACTGTATGATATTTGCTTGGCTCGTGCCAAAGAGAAATGGCGATCGCTGAGCACAGGAGGGGCTGAAGTAGAAGGTGAAGGTATGCTTTTCATCAGTGATGTATGCTGTGGGATAGAATAAGAGATTTTAGTACAGTTGTTCCTTCAAATGAAATCACAGCTCTTAAGCAAACAACGAAATCAGCTATAAGGGTAAAAAGCAAATCTATTTTTGTGTAAGTAAGAAAGAGCTGTGTTCTTTCTTCTCAGTGGAACTATGGTCTCTTACAAAACACACTCGTTCACTTTTCTTTATAAAACGTCTCTAGGTACAGTTCTGATTTGATGCCAATTTGTAGGAAAACTAGGAAAGTTTGGGGATTACAATTTTAATTGCAGCACTAAAATACTTTGCTACGTCTGTAGGTTTGGAATTGAAACTCAAATTACAGTAGAAAATTGCATTTTAGTCCTGTATTGCAGCTTTGAGCCCATCTCTTGGGTGTGTTTCGGAGAACAGCAATTTATTTTTGCAAAGTGGTTTGAGATTTACTAATTGATTGGAAGAGTTGTCTGATTCTGAGAATGTATAAAGCTACATGTAGATGCATGAAATTGCCTTTGGTATGTTGTGCAGAAAAAGGAGAACATACATAGTGGCATTTATCAACAGAAAGGTACTTTTGATTGGAAATCCTCTGCTTTGTTCTCTTAAGGTTGTCTGTGTCTAAAATAAGATGAGTATTTATGGAAACATACAACTTAGTATGTTTCCAGCTTCCTCTTGTACTTTATTTTCTGGAGTGTAGATGCTCTTGTGACTGGTGTTAAGCATTGGCTAGTGACAACTCATAGGTTTTGGTTCCTCAGTAAGTAGCAGTAGGTAATTCCCAACTATACTTAACCAGAGCAGACAAAGTACAAATAAACCTTTTTGGTATCAGATATAAAACTATTACTTTAGAAACTTACTTTGCATGAGATCCATTCCGGTTACTGAGAGTGTATTGCAGTGTCCATGATCTTTAGGAGCAAATAAACATTCTTTTGGAAGGAGACCTGACAGTAGTAGAGAGAGGTGTCATCCACAAAATACTGCTGCTTTAGGACTTCTCTCTCCCAACACAGCCTTTCCACAGAGGCAGCTACTTTGGGAGCTGCTGGGCAAGGGGTCACAGGTTAACAGGCTCATGTCTGTCTAGTGATTTGTCAGCAGATACCAGTAAGTGCCCTGCACCTTCCCCCCAGCTCTTCAAAACATATTGAGGGTCAGTGTGCACTGCAGGGTTGCTCTGAGTCAGGATATACTTGCTTCTTAGCTAGTGTGCCCAATTCAGGGAATTATCCTGTCTAAGCCCTTATTGCATAGCATTTGCACTGAAATAAATGAACTGTGTAAAGCTAACCCTCACTGGGGGCAGGGGGAGAAAGGGCATACGCTGATCCATGTAATAAGTGCATAACTTTTGCTTTTGTAGATGCTGGATTTTCTGCAGCTGACAGAGAAGCGAGCTTGGAATTAATAAAACTGGATATCTCAAGGACATTTCCTAATCTCTGTATATTCCAGCAAGTAAGCAATGTTGACTTCTGTCTTGATTTCTCAGATACATTCAGTTTACATGATCTTGCCCATCCCTTGGCTGAAACAGCCCATTGAGTTCAAATCTGAAGTAGACATCTTGAGAGGAAAAAATTCCTGAGGATTTTGGAAAACTATAAATAACCTAGAAAAGTGTAACCTCAAGGTACTACACATTTGAAAGAGGCAAAAAAACAGTGTTGGCTAATCCCTGTGATTCATCTAGCCCAGTTCATGCTGGCTTCTGTCTGCAGGTGAGTGTTTCCAAGGCAGTGAATCAACACTGCTCGGTTGCCAATACACAGTGAGTAAGAGCACAGATTAAGCAAGCAAAATTTGGTGGCCCTTTTTGGTTTGATGCAAGACCAATTTAATTTGTGTGGTTTTGGTGTGCTTTAAAGACTCATTTTAACTGGGTATTTTGTCCTTCTATAGAGAGATATCAGCAGCGCTGTAAAAAGTTTAGATTGTGATAAATCAACATTTTTTGGGTGCAAAACTTTTCGGGCATTCTCAGTTACAGTACTCAGTGTAAAATATGGCAGCTGTTAATAGTCAACAATGTGAAATTGTTTAACTGTACATGTTATTCTTGATATGCTGATTGTATGTTATGGCCTAGTGGTGTTCTGACAGTTTTGTTCATGGTTGATTTCTGCCTCTAGTCTAACAGACAAGTTCGTTTTTATTAGTGTTCTGCTTTCTTGGCACTGTTGTCAAAGTGCTGCTAAGCTGTAAGAAATCTCTTAGGTTTGTATTCCTCTTGTATGAGGATTTAATATCATAGAATCAAAGAATGGTTTGGAAAGGACCTTAAGATCATCTAGTTCCAACCCCCTGCCGTGGGCAGGGACACCTCACACTAGACCATGTCGCCCAAGGCTCTGTCCAGCCTGGCCTTGAACACCTCCAGGGATGGAGCATTTACCACTGAATATGTAATCAGATGAACTGTATGCATTTGTACTAAGTGTGGTATGGAGGGTTGTGTCATGCTTTTAAAGCCAAAATTATTTTGAAAGACTTGGGACTGTTTAAAATTACATGGGGAAAGAATATAGATAGTAGGTAAGTTATACCTGTAGCACTGAAGAGTTTTTGACATGTTTGTTGTATACTCAGATTGTCTTGTTTTTGTTTTATTATAGGGTGGTCCTTACCATGACACGTTGCACAGTATTTTAGGAGCCTATACTTGTTACAGACCTGATGTAGGCTATGTAAGTGGAGAATTCATTTTTCCAGGGGTGGGAAGGGAGAACTTGGGGGAGGGAGGGTTGAGTTGCTCGGTCCTTTGTAGACCAGTATTAAATGATTTTGTGAAAACTTGTGAGGTTTCTGCGTGCTTTCTTCTATTCCAGTACATGCTCGAGAAGTGTGTATAACAGTTCTGTTCCTAGTTTTAAACTTCTTAACAGGTTAAGTAATTGGAAAACTCAAAAGTACATATTTGTACTCAAAAGTACATACTTAGGAGTCAAAAGAGAAGATGTGGCTAACTTGGTCCTTTGAAGTACATACTGTTCCTAATGACAGTCTTACTGAGACTCTTCTGTTGAGTATTTTACTCCTTTTGGCACGTCTTAGCGCTGTGAGCTTCTGGAACTGTCTTCAAAGCAATGCCCATGAAGGCTATGTGAGCTTCCTTAAAGCATTTGAAGTGGTGATTATGAGAGGACTGAGTAGTTTTCAGATAATTCATTTAGTCTTTTTTTCCCAGAGCAGGGGGTAATATATATATATATATATATATACACACACACACACATACATATATATATATATGAGCTTATTCTTTATTTGGGAGCAGTTGTTTTCGAGATGGCAGATGTAGAAAGGTAGTGTTCCTATTCTGAGAGTAGCATGTGATGCTTGGGAAAAAGCTGCTGAACATGACTGCAGGGAAGCTAGAAGAGGTGCGGATCAGGTGGCGTGCTTCATTTGGCATGGAACCTGTTGTGTTGGGAAGGAGCTTGTTCCTCAGGTTTGCAGGGCAGACTGTCACGCCTTGGTCCGTGTGACTCTGCTGTGGCAGCACTACAGCCTGAGTGAGCGAGCTTTGCCTGGGTTCAGCACTGATTCCATAGCATACTCTGCAGAGAAATGCAACATCATGAGCTTATTGTAAATGGAACAAGAGCTTAATCTTAAAATGGTGCTGCTTGTCGAATGAGTCACTGCAGTTGTCTGTAACTGCTGGTAATTGATTGAAAAAGGAAAGAGCAGGCTTTGTCTCTAGTGTCCTAAGCCAGCTTTCCACAAATAAAGGCATTGATGACCTGTCCTTGGGAGGAGAGGAATTACTTATAAACAGCTTATTCTGTAAAGACATCTTTATTCTGCATATTCAAAAGTGCTGTCAGCCTAGCCTGTCTTAGGAGTTTTACTCAGAGGTATCTTTACTCCTTGAGAGGAGGCAGTGTGGGGACTGTTGACTTCCATGCTCTGAAATGGAATACCAAAGGGTCAAGTGGGTTGAAAAATCCTGCCTTTCTGAACGTTTCACAGACTTCATCTGGAGCAAGAGTGCATTAAACACTAGTGATTACAAGGAGAAAATGAGGCAGTATTCTTGGAAGAATACAGCTATTGCTGAATGGTAACACTTCTCCTTTCTTCAGGTACAGGGCATGTCGTTCATAGCAGCAGTATTGATCTTGAACTTGGATACTGCAGATGCCTTCATTGCTTTTTCTAACCTTTTAAATAAACCCTGTCAGATGGCATTCTTCCGTGTGGACCATGGCCTTGTAAGTATGCAAGAAAACTGTTATCAACATGCTGTGGGTATGTACAGGGAGAGTTTAAGAAAAGGTAAAAACCAATGGGCTCGATAGCTTGGAGAAGTCAGGATTTATTTTAAATCATGTTAAAGCTTGATACACAAAAAACTCAACAACACCCCCCCCCTCAAAAAGCCCCAAACCAAAACCCACTCCAGTAACCTTTTTGAACAGGCAGGTAAATGAAATGGTTCAGCTGCTATTTTATGATCCTCAGAGAATGGTGATGAGAACATTATTGTAGGTGTTTCTCAAATTGAGCACTGTAGTTGAAAGCTGAAAGCACCTTAATATTCCAAGTGCCTTGAAGGTGCTTTTATCCTGACTAATAGCTTGCTAAAAATAGACTGCTGCAGGGAGAACCAGGTTTCCCATCTCTTATTGTAGCAGTTGTGTTTGAAGAGGAGCCTGGGGGAATCGGATGGACAGAACCCTCTGATTTTCAGTGGCAGCTGGTTGCCTGATTCTTTCTGTAGTCTAGAATTCCTTGCTAGCATGTACACTGGGCTCCCTGTGTACCCTGGCAAAATAAGATGTATCTGCTGAAATTTGGTTTTAACTTACCTTTAAAGTGTTCTTTTGTAAAATACATGGCATTGTTTTTCTCAATTATTTACATCTTAACACTATGAAAATAGGATCTGCTTCTCAGGAGTTTAAATGGGAGGAATGAAGCAAGGGAATGAATAACATCAACAGCAATCTATTTTGCTGCTTAAACAGTAAGACACTAGGGATCCTATCAGTACTTCCTGGTGGAAAAGCTGTTTGCCATTCCCTGTTGCAGCCCTTGCATCTCATCAGTTGTAAATGTCCATGGGGAGATACACCACAGCACAGACAGCATTGGTAGAGGCAGGGCTGGTCATCTCTTCATCTCTGTTTCTGTACTTAGAAAAGGAGGACATGTTTATGCATTCAGTGTGTAAATATGGTCTTGTGAAGATGATTTTGGAACCAAGTCTGCTAGAATAAGATTTTTTCTTTGGGTTGGCAGTGTGTTTAGCTGAAACAGTAGGGTTTTGTATGCTCCTGGATAATGACGCTTAGTTCTATTAGCCTGGCTAAATAGAGGCTACATGGTAAACAGATGCTTACAGGAGAGAAGAGATGGTGATACATAAAATAATATTAACAGACTGTGAAATTACAAAGCCATGATTAACACCACAAGGAAAACTTTGTACCTAGTATTTTGAACAGAGAAGTGACACAGAGTGAGACAGTTTTGGCTTCTTGTGGTTAATGTACTGATCTGCTGCCTACCCTCGTCGTTTTGTGCTCATTTGTCTTAAGATCTAATTAAAAAACTAAGACCAGATAAGTTGGTTGTGGAAATGACAGTAATTTATACTGATTTATCTTTACTTCTTTTGTTGAGTACAGTTCCATTAAACTGGATCTTTTTTCCTTCTTAAATTACTGCTAAATAAATGTCTTACTGAATGTTGATTTGATCAAGAGAAATGCCTGAACTGCTGCTGCATTTCTGATGGAGCTGCCTGGATTGCTATCAGCAGATGTGGTTATAGCAGTTAGGTTTAAGATCCCTTCTCTAAAGCACTTTTGAAATGCCTTTAGTAGACCTCTCTTATTGTGGTGCTAGCATGTAAGATCACTTTGGAGCTGTTCATTGCATTACCTGCTTCCTTCTGTTACATGCTCACAGATCTGATGCAATGCTTGGACTTCATGCTTTGAAAGATTCATGTTGGGAAGCTGTTTCAGTTGTACAGTTCTGTAAAAGTGGGTTTCTAGATTTCTGGTGTCATGTTTGCCATGAAGCTGTTTCTCAGTACCCGATAGTTCAGAGGTTTTGCAGTTCTTTGTATGGTTATTCCTGTAGCATGCACCCATCTTGGGGTGGCTTTTAAGCCTTAAACACCTACTGAGTACCAGGCTCAATTTTTTATTTGCCACTGTGAGTGAAGGTCTTCCACCATCTGCCACCTCATTCAGATGAAACAGGAAACAAATCTGTAAGGACATTAAGATACTGGGAAACAAATCTGTCATCCTTTCAAAGGATTTCAGATGAAAGGCTCCAGAAAGCTCCTCTTTTCCTTTTACTGTCATGGTGTTTTGGGGAGAAGCATGCTGATACAACTGAAGAACAAGAATCATAGCCATTCTTTATTGCTTTCACTGGGATATTGTAATTAAAATCACTGAATCATTCAAGGACTTTGCTTAACTTTTCTCCCTGTATTATGAAAAAGAGGGGTGAGGGAGCTAAAAAGCCTTTTGTTTTTAACTCTTAGTTGGATTGGAAGATTTTCCATTCCCTCTGTTACGAAATGTAACCTGAATATCCAAATTTTAAAATAACATGAAAGTCTTAGTGTTAAAAACAGTACAGCTTTGGGGGTTACAGTGTCAGACGGGAGTTACAGTCTATTTCTCTTGCACAGGAGTTTTGTCCTGATCTTTGGCATTTCTGTGTGAACTTCATCTCTCCCTCTTGGCATGAACTTCACCTCTTCTTTGTAATGGAAATGTCTGATTCTGTGATTACCTAATTTTAAAATGTATGGTATAAAAGAATCTTTGGTATTATAATATGATTTATAATTGGACCCAACTGGACTTTTCACTCTTGCTATGGACTATTAAATTATTTTAGTTTCATATTTCATTTTATAATCCATTGGGCCTTGGATTTCATTCAGTATAATATTAAATTACTGCCACAGGCATAAAGCACCATTCTGTTATAATTATTCTGAGAAATCAGCAAATAACTTCTCTCCTGCTGGTGTTTTTCTTTCCAAAGGAAGCTGGCCAAGACCCAAACCAGTAATTATATTGTTCAGTATGAGAATGGTATATCGAGTGGATTTTAAACTCTTTGTGCTTGCAGATGCTGTCCTTTATGTAAACCTTTAGCTCTTCATGGTGTTATGGAATTCATAGGATCCTGGTTTTGAAGAGCATTAATTGAACAACATATAATACATGTAAACCTATTAATAATGCAGCTAACTGTTTTCTCCCATTCTGTTTCCCAGATGTTGACTTACTTTGCCGCATTTGAGGTATTCTTTGAAGAAAATCTGCCAAAGTTATTTGCTCACTTCAAAAAGAATAACTTGACTCCAGACATCTATCTGATTGATTGGTAAGGCCTTGAAAATGTAATTACTCATGTGCATATTACCATATAGCTCCCTGTCAGTGTTCAGGACAGAAGCTGGAGTGCTCTTACCTGGCTTAGTGTTCTTTTAAGTTAAAGGCTTTACCTTTTGTTCAGTACTTGAGCTGTCAGTCCACATCATTCCCACATAAGCCTGTGATGTTTAATGTTTGCCTAACCTTTATTATTGTACTTGTGTTGAGTTTGAAGCCTGTTTTGAAATACAGCTGTATAGCAGTGCTTATCCATATTCAGTGCGTATTTGGATTGATCTTCTGAGAAAATCTGTTCTTCTACTCCCTGTGCAGGTGTGTCCCAGGGGTGTATATCCAGAAAGTCTTGCTAGTCTGACATTCAGAATGCATTGTTTGTCTGCCTGCACAGAACAGGAAAAGAGGAGTTAAAACATTTCTTCATACAACAAAAAGCAAGAAGCTACAGAAAAGGGAACACCTCGGATTTTGGCAGGATGAACTATGACTCTTAGGCTGTGTCTTTAGTCATGTTAGGGTGGTCCTGGATCCTGTTTAGAGGATCCCGGTATAGGTTGTCTAAAAACTGATCTTGATTGACATAGCTCAATTGAATAGCTGAAGGGCATGTTTTTAATTACTGCAGCTATTCCCCACAGCAAACAGGCAATTACAATCTTTTTATTTTGTGAAACTGCCTTCCCTTTTAGTTCCCTTTAGTGTAATTAGAACCTTTTTCCTGAGAGAGAAGAAAAGACACTGATCTTATTTGCACTCCTGCCAAATATCAGTGCAGTATAGGGAACTCCAAATTGAGTGTTTGCATTTGTGCCTATCAGACTGGTTTGGGGCAGCTAAAACGTTTCTTCTCACCAAGCATGACTGGTGTGGGAGGATATGTAATCTTTTGTGAAAACTTGATTTGCCCTTAAATTGTTGACAGCTTCTCCTGTTCGCAGGTATCTGACTGATCATCTTCAGTAAGACATTAAATTCCCAGTAGTAACAGTGTTTTTTTCTGAGATTCACATGGTATTACTTTGGAGAACATTTGTACTGTTAATGCAATTCTACCTGAACCAAGCTCTTGGCACCCTGATTTTTAAGACTTAGTTATTGGCACTGAACATGTTGTTGATCCATTAGACAGAAATCCACTTAACATAATTCAGTCCAATTCAACAGCTGGAAGTTTGAATATGTGAGTTTTCCTAGGATCATAGAATTGCTGGGGCCATTGGAAGGGATCTCTGGAGACCATATAGTGTAAACCCTCTGCTCAAAGCAGTCAACTCGAGCAGGTTGCTCAGGACTTTGTCCATCTGGGTTTTGAGTATGTCCAAGGCAGGAGACTCCACAGCCTCTCCAGGCAACTCTTCATCAGGTTAAACGGTACCAGCTTTCACTGTGCACCAGGTGCTCCAAGTCTTTAATCATGTTCATGACAAGCTGGACTTGCTTCAGTGTATCTGTCTTTCTTGTACTGGGAAGCCCAGAGCTGGTTCACCAATGCTGAGCAGAAGGATGACCTGCCTTAGCCTGCTGGCAGCGCTGTTATTAATGCAGCCCAGGAGTTTGTGGATGTTCTTTGCTGCAAAAGCACATTGCTGGCTTATATTTAACATGTTGTCCACCAGGACCTCTGTTCCTTTGCTGCAGAGCTGCTGCATTGCAGTCTGTTGGCTTCCCACATGTACTGGCCCTGTTTCCTTCCCAGGTGCAGGACTTGGCATTTATTTCCCTTTGTTGAACTTCATGAGACTCCTGTTGGTTTGTTTCTCCAGTGTCTCAGGGTCCCTATGGAGTGGTGTATCAACCACTCCTCCCAGTTTTGTATCACCTGCAAACATGCTGAGGGTACAGTCTGATCCATCACCTAGGTCCTTAACGGAGGTACTTAAAAGATTGGATGAGTATCAACCCTGGAGTACCGTGCCAGTGGATTGGCTTGAAGATGTACTTCATACCACTAATGACAACCTTGTGAGCTTGGCAGTTCCAGCCACTTTTCAATCCACCTCACTGTCCATTTATCTAGTCCATTCTTCCTCAGTTCGTCAACAAGGATTTTATGGGATAGAGTGTTGAAAACCTTGCTGACATCCACTGGTGTCCCCTCATCCACCAAGCCAGTCATCTCATATTGTAGAAGGTTGATAGGTATGATTTTGCTTTCATAAATCCATGCTGACTTTCTCCCAATCACCTTTTTTGCCATCAAATATTTTGAAATGATAACCAGGAATTTTTCTTTTATACTTTTGGGGATGGAGGTGAGACTGACCAGCCTATAGTTACCTGGATCCTACTTCTTGAAGATAGGAATGACGTTTGTTTTCTTCAAGTCCCCAGGAACCTCCCCTGATCACTGGGGTCTTTCAAAGATGATTGAGAGTGTCTTCACAATGACAGCAGACAGTCCCATGCACTTGTATGTGCCCAGTTTGTTTAAACGTTCCTTAAAGTGCTCCTCCTCCACCGAGGGGTAGGGCTTCCTCGCACTGGGTTTTCCCACTGGTCTGGAGGACCAGGGATTCCTGAAGGCAAATCTTCTCGTTAAGGCTGAGGCGAAGAAGGCGGTTCTGCATGTGCTTTGTCACCAGGTTCCTTGCCCTGTTCAGCAACAGGCTCATATTTTCCTGAGTCTTTTTGTCTGCTGCTGTGGGGAAAGCCCTTCTCATTGTCCTTAACATGCATTGCCAGGTTCAACTCCAGATGGGCTTTGGATTTCCTAGCCCCTTCTCTGCATACTCAGACAATGTCTCTGCATTTTTCAGGGTCATCTGCCCCTCCTTCAGCGTCTTATATGCTTCCTTTTTGTATTTGAGTTTTGTCAGGAGGTTCTTGTTCATCCAGACAGGCCTCCTGCTGCCTTTGCTTGAGTTCCTTGGTTTTTGTATGCCTGTTACACAGAGGAGAATGTAACTTGGGCTGTGGTTGGCTTGGCTTTTACACTGGGATTAAATTTTAATGCAAGATGAGTAGGGGGTGATGAGGGGGTGTGTAATGGATAGACTCATTTCTCCCAGTATTTGATGGGAGAAGCAGCACTGGAAGGATTTTTATGACTGAAGGTTGAGAATATTAAACTGAATTAGATCTATGCACAGAGCAGGAAGATGCTAGAAAAAATACTGGAATAGGATAGAATGGAAGAGAGTTTGTTCAGTGTTAAGAGGCAAGATAGTGAAATTACATTGCCTCAGACGATGTTGTGAAAAGCCTGTGTGTGGAGGAAGCAGTTGAATAAAAGCGATACCAGAATAGGAAGACTGTAAATGTGCTGGAGAGTAACTGGATAGACAACCTTAAAATCACCACGTTATAATCTTTTTAATGGATTAGTAGTTTAATATGATGCTGATGCAACTAAGGTGGGGGTTTTTATGGAGGAGAGACTAAAACTGAGTGTCTTCATGGCGCAGTCGCAGTAATGCCAATCCACTGTGTAACTTTGAGCTTACATTGTAAAGAAGAAATCCTGAGGAACAACACCAGAAATGGGAGGTTTAGAAACAGACTGTTTTGACAAAAGGTTGAAGGTTTACATTCCCCTCAGCAATTTTGCTTTGATAGACTAGTCTCTACTGTATTCTCTTGAGTAAACATTTATGTGACCACTTGTTCTCTTTGAGCACATTTGTAGGTTACAAAAAGAAAGGAAGACAATACCTGAGTTAGGAGCAAAGCACTGGAGTGTTGAAATCTGAGGCGGGGGGGGGGGCACATCGGGGCCCCCGTTCGTTCCTTCGTGGGTGTTGTCAAGAGCACTTGAAGGAAACTTCTGTCAGGAGTGGTTGTGGATGGAGCTTCTCAAGGGTTTTGTACAGATGGACTGACAACCCTCAGCATTTCTCGCTGACTACGCACATCTGTACTAAAGCTGTTTATTTTAATCCCAAGGACAATTTACTGTGTTCTTCCCCATCCCTAGAGAGCCACTACACTAGAATGTGCACAGGAAAGCAGGCTAGCTGAGGTAGTCCTGCCCAATCCTATAGTCAACTTTTTAACGCTTGAGTTAGGCAGCTTGTCCCACTCTTTAATTTTGTTAGACAGTGGAGTTGGTATTTAACTGTGTAAGATTTGGGTATCATGTTTAAATATACGTGTGCATGTGTATATATGTATGTGTGTGTATATACTTTATATATACATATTTTCTTTTAAATATGTATCCTTTCTACTTTTAAAATACTTTTTTCCTGTAGGAAGCAGATTTATTTCCTTTTTAACAGCCACTGGTAACTTAGCAAATTGGACTTTGTATGTGCTGTCTTTCCATTATTTCCAGGATGTAATATAGAAAAGATGGAAGGAAAAATCATATAGGTCTCTATTCTGGAAAGTGAGTAACTGTTAAAGCTAAGTAAGGACTTTGGAAAATGTTGTTTACAAGGTTGCCTGTGGCTCATGTCTCTCAGTGAATTTGCTGTAGTACAGATACTGCTCTTTTAAAAACAGAACTGCTTCCCAAAAGATAAGAATGTGGTTTCAGTGTGTTTAAAGTCAGGGAAGAATATAGTACAGTGTCTCTTTGAATAGACAGACCTTTTGGTTGTAGGTAGAAATCTCTCTGAAACAGCCTTGTTCTAACAACATTACTTTTATTTAAATGCACATTTGTTCTGAGCAACAAAGGGATGCCTGCTGCTATCCCAGTGGCTGGCATGGTTACTGTGCAGGCATGTGTGCAGTAAATCTCAGTTGGTGTCAGCTCTGGGAGGGCTCCAGTAGCCAGTGCTGCGCAGACCAGTTGCTGGGAAACCCTCCTGCTCCTGCAGTAATTCCAGTGGCATCGACTAGGCTCCTTTGTGCTGCTTCCTGTAAGCTGTGCCGCAGGGAACAGCAGTAAAATCGGGATGCTTAAATCATTTGTGGAGAGATATGTTCCAAGGAAAAGACATGCTGTGCATGGGCCCAGCTACGCAGGTGATGCAGTGCTGCTTTGGGGTTTTTTGGGGCTGGCAGAGGATTTAGGAAGGGGAGACCCCCATCAGTTCTGTCTCACCACTGCTTCTGTGGTAGGAAAATGCCAAGGACTGAAGAACTGAATTAAAAGGTACCGTGGCACAATCATCAGCGGGTACCTGCCAGACTTAAGGCATCTCTTAAAAAAGACCCATATGCTCCAAGGCCAAACTTCAGCTGACAAATCTTATGGAAAGAATTCCAAAGCTACACAGGTTGTTACTTTTTTCGGAGAATATAAAGGGAATCAGTTGTGAGAGATGTGAAGAGCAGTGTGCAGCCAGGTTCACCGAGAGGGAAATGGTGTGCCTGCGTGGCCCAGCTTTGGCCTCTGTCAGCTGATGCACCGCAGGCTGTTGTGAGCAGAGCAGAGTGTGGCGTTGCAAGGGCCACATGCTGTCTATTTATGGCCCGCTGCTACTATACAAACACCTCTTTGTCCCTGCTCAGAAAGATGATTTGGGCAATAATTATAGCCAAGGGCTTTGTTTGTGCTGATGGATTGATCAGTGGTTCTTCAGTATCACATTGACTGTGTTTGTGCTCCAGGAATATTAACTTTCTATTGACACCATTTGCTTGTTATGATAAAGGTCCAAGCCACTCCATGTGGACGTTTGTAGTAGGCACTTACTAGTGAAGTGTTCATAAGCTTGCTCTCTGTTACATTAAGAGAAACACAGTCCATGTCGTGCCAGTAACTCTCCACCCGCCAAAAAAAGAAGGTGATGTTTTAGATGCGTGCCTCCTTTTCCAACCAGACTGGACTGTAATTCTGTCCAGAGGTTTCTGGTGACATCCTGATTTTTTGATTGGAGTTGTTACTGGACTTCAGCCCAATTTACAGTGTGCTCATCCTTACATCACCGCAGGCGGAACCAAGTGAAACGCTGCACTGCTGAGTAGCAGTCCTGGGTGAGAGAGCAGGGCTTTTTGGGTGCTTCTGGCTGGAAATTGCTCAGAAGCTCACACAGTATTTGTATTCTAATGATATGTTTTACAATGCAGTCAGGTTTGCTGAGTGCTAAGAAGTTGCTCTGTTGCTGTCAGTATTCTATAGTACATAGTATTTCAGTTTTCCTTTTCCTAATAAAGAACAAAGTAAATATTTCCACTTTTTCTTTTCAACTGTAATGATTCTAAAATCGTACTAAGTAAGCTGTTACCGACAAGTCTATTGCAATAACTCTAAAGGTGCTAATGGGAACAGAGATGCCGCTCTACAATAAAGCAATGCATGAACACGTGGAAAGATGCAGTCTTTGTCTCAAAACACATGTAGTTGACATCAATACAGAATGTAACAACTAATATTCATACCAGGATGAAGGAGGATCCAAAAGGTCCTGAATTAGTCCATCGGTTCCCACAACTCAACTCAGAAGTTGCAGAAATATTTTTGTATTCTTTTTTGACAAAAGGAACGTATAAGATCAGATTTGCAGCATGAGTTGTCAAACCAAAATCTGGCATAGCCGTGTTCATTGCTGTTGCTAACAATAGCTTATGAAGGCTTTTTAATGAAAAAAGAAAAGAGGATATAAAGGGAAAAAAAAAAGGGAATAAAGGAAAGAGAACACAGAGCCTGTGATTATCATGGTAGCAGGGGGTTGTTTTCTTGTAACATTATGATCATACACTTTCCCTGCGAGTAGCAAACCAGCCAGGATTTCGTGCATCTACCTCAAAGTACAATTTCATCATAAGCAGGGCTGGGAGGAACAGGAGCATCTGGCACTTCATTTATTTTTTCCCCTCTTCCAAACAGAAGGCAGCCAGTAGCCTGCATTCACATTACTCTGGCAGTGGACACCTCTGTGCTGATGAGCTGTGCTGTCTGCACCTGGGGCTCGCAGTGAGTTGTAGGAGAGCTGCAGACAGAAAATCATCCTGCAGTACAGCACTAGCAGGGTACTCGTGCTGCCGAGAGCTGCTCTGTCTGTGTTAGTCCAGCAGCTGCTTTGTTGTTAGAATAAATTTCAGCTGGGTTTCACATCAGCAGCTCAGGTGTCTAATAGAAAATGTCTTTCAGGAGGAAATGCTGGAAGGGAGCAAATGCTGTCTGTTCTTTGCGGTAATTATGATTCCTACTGTTGTTCCAGAGCTTATTCTAGGGGGCTCAGTCTCCATTCTCGGGGTTTGATGCATTTAATTCCATGCTGGTATTAATGGAAGTGAATTGCCTTGTGAATTTCCTGCAAATTGCACTTCCTTCCGAATTATGAAGAGATCAGTGTCAACTACCTTATTTGATGTGACAGCTTTTTTGATGAGTAAATCTTTTCTTACAATAAGTAGTGTTCTAATAAATAGTTCTGACTCTTTCTTCTGACAGTTAATTTTCTGCACAGTTGTGAATTTAATACACATGGGCTATTTAGGTTAGGCCTGAATAATGCAGAATAAGAGCTTTTGTGAATAAAACCAGATCCAAAAAAAGCAGCCATTGTTACTTATCTATACCGGGACTAGTTCCTGTCTGAGAGTTTGCCTGCTACTTAGTGACCAGGAAAAGGACTAGGTTGAATTGCTTCCTATTACACTGTTCTTTTTAAATGGAAAAGCTGTTGCTGCTTCCTGTGTATGTGTGTGTGTATAGACAAAAAGCCTGAGCTCTGCAGTGTAGGTTTGCTGTAGCAAAATGTGTTTATATGGTGCTTAACTGTACAGAAGTGTTGAAAGGGTAGGTGAAGTCTCCAAAACATGATGAGTAGTAATCCAAAGAAGGACCTTTGTTTTGTGCTGTTCTTGTACATCCACGTATGTATGTAAAATGCATACATGAACAATAGTGGGGTTTTTTTTCACCCCAGACTCCACCTCTGCTGTGCTTATTTTTATACTTCTAAGTTAGCTTTTTGGAGAACAGTATTTATATGATTTCCACTTTTTACAAAAAGCATTGCAATGACATGTAATAGTAGAAAAAAGGTAAAATCCTGAGGATCCTAAACCTGCAATTTACTTGCACCTGAATTTGTGCACATGGTTTGGTTCCATCTTGGTGCTTGTAAAGTGAATGTATTTTCCCATTTTCCTGAAGTGTCCTGATTGACATGGAAGCCTCAATAACACATCATTCAAATAACCTCATATTTGACACCTATATATATATATATACACACACAAGTGTGTGTTTGTGTAAATCTGTTCCATTGTATTATTTATTGTAAACCCGAATTTCCTAAATAGGAAATTGGGGATCTTAGAAGGGAGTCTTAAAGACAAGAGAATTGCTGTTCATGGATTTTGTGTTAAAAGATGTGGAAAAGGTTTTGTTTCAGTTTGAGGCTTTGCTGACCTCTGCCGGAGAAAGAATTGTTTGCAGTTTATGGAGATTTTATGCAGTGCCTCTGTGGAGAAAGGTTCTCTCTAAAACCTGCAGGAAAAAACCCACTGTAACTCTTTTCCCTGATATACTATAACGGCATTCCAGGAAACTTAATTCTCTTCGCTTCTTGCAATGACATTGCTAGTGGCAAAGAAAACTTGCTGTGCCTGTAGTGAAATGTTGGCTAGAGGAGGGAGTGGGGAGCATCTTTGGGTTCCTGGCTGGAAGGCTGTTGGCGTTTTGATGAAGGAAGGCGTGCTCTTGGCAGTTAAAGGAAATACAGTTTTAGCAACAGGGAGGAGGTTCTTGCTTCCACTGTTACCTTTTCCTTTTGGGGATCACATCCATTCAAGCACACTGAGCCAGCAGCTTGTCACAGCTGTCTGCATATTCTCTCTGGACATCGTGCCTGTTTCTCTCAACTCACTAGGGTTTACACTGATTTTTCCTCCAAAAACTCATGCTATCATTACTTTGCCAGTCAATCAAGCCTGGAACGCAGAGTTATATTTACACATTTCCTTCATCTGATGCACAGATTTCCCTTTGCAGTATGTTTTAAGGTTCAGCTTTTTGCTTTCTTGTAGCTAAAATCCTCAGCTCTGAAGGGATAGTTAAATAATGCCTGTGGCCAGGGCATGTCCATCATAATCCATGTATATTGATTGTTTCTTCTGGTGTGATACAAGAAAATTGAACTTGGAGACCCAGATTGATAGCAAGAGGCCTTAATGGTTGTTATAATGTTTCATGTATTGGTATGCTGCAACTAATAGAAGGCATTTTGGAATTAAAATAAATCAATATTCAGTTATAAATATTTGGGAAGCCTCAAACCTACTGATGATGAGGTGTGTACTTCTGTGAGTGTCCAAGATACTCTCCTCATCCATTAACACTGAAAAGCTTGTTCTGTTTTTCAGGATCTTCACGTTGTACAGCAAATCTTTGCCACTAGACCTGGCATGTCGTGTCTGGGACGTGTTCTGCCGTGATGGAGAAGAGTTCTTATTCCGTACAGCCCTGGGAATATTAAAACTTTTTGAAGATATTTTGACCAAAATGGACTTCATTCACATAGCCCAGTTTTTAACAAAGCTACCAGAGGACTTGCCTTCAGAAGAATTCTTCACGTCTATTGCTGCCATTCAGATGCAAAGTAGAAACAAAAAGTGGGCTCAGGTAAAGAGGATGTTAATCTTTGTTAATGGATGATTGTACTGTACTCGGGAAAGTAGGGGTTTGGCAATACCTGGAGGAATGCTTTAGCAGAGCTAGGGCTTGATTTTACAGGTAGGTAGGACTGTGTAGCTCACATCATGCTTTTAGTGCACGTTCAGGTGAGTGGATTCCCTCAGCTTGCTCTCCTGTGGAAAGGGAGAGCTCAGTCAACATTCGAAATTGAACTGTTGAGTGGAGTGGATGAAGCACATTATCATACAGCTTTTTAAATTCATTAATTACAAAGGCGGCTGGCAAAATTACAAGTTGGTATTTAAAAGTAGAGATTTGCTCTTTGGGAGAAGATGACAATTTGTCAGAACACATTATCATACAGTCATCATCTTGATATTCTTGAGGATCTATTTCGCCTAATTTTGGGCTGCACAGAAGTGATTGCATCTCTGACTTCTTTATGAGAATTTAGCACAGAAACCTTTATTTGAGACATTGTGTTTCATCACTTCCAGTGTAAAGAAATTCCATCATATTCCACTTTAAAGAAAAAAGATGGAAGGGTGTCATCTGAACATGGAAATTGTTAAGTGGCTGTAACAGCCATTCATGCTGGAGGGTCAGGTCAAATGTACTCCAGAGTGTTTGGAGTGGAAACCTTTTTTTACTATATTTTTTCCCTTTTCAGTTTCTTGGAAGCAGTAACACAGCCTGCTTCATGAGTCCTGCTGTAGTAAAGCTCTGCCCATTACATCTGAATTCTTTTGTGCAGTGAAACTAAGGTGATGTTAAACACAGTGGTTACGGCAGTTAAGTTGCAAATGGGAGTTTATGGCTCTTCCCTGGAAGTGACAGCCTGCCTCTAGATGCTGGAGACTGCCAGCTTGCTGTGTGAGATGAGAACTTCTAACCTTCACAGCAGGAGTAGATTGCAGCCTCTGAACCTTGCCTTGTGTATAAGGGGAAACACAACTTGCACAGCCCAGCTAAGGGCAGCACACCGCCAGCATTTCCTCCCTGACACAGTTTTCCTCACAGCTTTGTTTGCATTTCCCTTTTGGTCTTGCTCATAAGTTGCTAGTACAGATCCAGCTTTGTTTCTATGCTCAAGACCATTTTTCAGCCAGTAATGTCTCCACAAGTAACCTCCCAGTCTTGTCCCTCGTTCAGATGGTTTTACTTTCTTTGAACACGTCATGTGGATGAGGATCACGTACCAAGTGAGTTCTCAGCCTACTACTGCCTCCCTTGCAGAGGAGGAGAGGTGGGGATCCTGTTCTGCCAAGTGCCCCAAGTAACAGACTTTCTTAGCCAGTGGTTTTCAGTATGTGACACATGATGGTTTAGTGGTGATGATCACAACAGGAGAAGGACTTCAAAGTAACCTCGCCCAAGCAGTCTTCCTCAGTCTCCTGGTCAGCTTCATTCTGACAGTGCTGGTGTTTTCCAGATGGTTCTTGCTGAACCATGGTGCAGACAGATCTCTGACAGAGTGAGCAGGGTGTAGGGTTGGTGTTGCCTGACCTCTTGCCTAGCTTGACTTCTGCACCAGCTGGCTTTCTTGACCGGGAAGCTCCATTGCTGAGTAAGCTGCCATTAGGAAAGCCTGCTTGCTCTCTAGCTTGCCATCATTTTCCAAACCAGAAGTGTGTAGGAGCTATGAGTTTGCTCATGTCATGCACTTACTGGGGCTGCTCAGTTTGCTGAGGTACCACAAGTGGATCTGACCTAGGAATGTTATCAAGACAAAGAAGGTATGGGATTTTGTTTTCTATTACTTAGATGCTTCCTAGCTAGGTAATTTTCTGACTGCGACTATTGCTGTAGAAGTCAGGTGTGTTTTCTGTAGAGAAGTACCTTTTCAAATTAGCAAAATGAATGTCAAGAGTGATGGAGTGATGCAGCACTTCCAAGATAAACTCTTGAGTGCACTTGAGTGACCAGGCACGCTAGTTCCCAGAGGATGCAGAATGCTCTTGAGCTTAGAAAAGTGGGCTTTGTGTTCTCATCTTTAGCATCATCTCATCTGGGTACACTAGCTGTACTGCATAAGCAAGCAGCAGAGTTTGAGGTATTATTTATTTCTTTATAGGAGTGTATTTGACTGTAGAACTCGGAAGTCAAATATAGCTGCACATCTCAGCAGTAGGTGTACTTGGCACTCAGAACACCCACTTAGAGAACCTTTCACCTTCCTGTACCATGGTAATGACAGTCCTGTTATCCTGTGGGTCACATTCTGAGCTGATACTGTGTAGAGATGAGGTATGTGGGACCTCATCTAGAATGTTGTGGGCTGCTTATGAAGCTGGTTTTCACAGTCCTGGTTCCCTCATCAGACGGGCTGGTGTGTATTTTCCATCTCACTCCCTTGGCCACTAACAGTGTGATCAGGAAACTAAAGACTGCAAGGAGTCCTAGCAGATCATGAACACAGCACTTCTAGTGACAAGGGCTCTGGTTATCAGTAGGAAACCTACAAGCTCTGTTTTTATTCTGGAATTACCTGCAAAGATCTCCAGGGCATTGTGCCAGTACAGCCTTAACCTGAAATGGAAGCGGATGTTGTTACACCCACTGCTTTGGCATCAACAACAGAGGAATAGAGATGGTAGAACAGGCATGGAGCGTGTTAAGCAGTGTGAGAAACTGGCTGCTATTGTACCCTCTACACAAGGACTAAGAAAACAAAATTGTGCATCAGATACTGGGAAATACACGTTTTCAATGTGGATGTGGACTTTTGCTTCCAAAAAAGATGGAAGCAGATCTGGAGACGGTGATGGGCTCTAGACAAGCACCAGGCAGCGTGAAGGTAGTTCTGTCCCAGCCTCTCAGATAGTGCTCTATGGCTCTGGCTGATGACTTGATCTTTTTTTAGATACTCCATTTATCTTGAGAATTATAACTTCCCCTCGGGCAGCATCCTTTAATAGAGCTAGACTTGCGTAATCTGGGCAAGAATCTCATCTCCAGGCTTCAAAAGTGTGCGCTGGGGAGAGATTGAGTTTAAACCCTTTGTTAAATCCATTTGTATCTACTGTGCCACAAGGACTTACAGGAGAGGTCTCCGTCAAGGCAGAGGTTCTCCAAATTCGATTACATTTAATAGTTAAAATAGTATTGCTCAGAGATAATTAAATTGCAGCCTCTTCAGACAATCATTTGCTGAGTCACTTTTACAATCTAATACTTTCTTCTCTCTCATTCTAGATCCTGGCTGCTCTGCAGAAAGATAACCGGGAAATGGAGAAAGGAAGCCCTTCACTCAAACGTTAAGAACGTGGCTGTCCGCAGTGAAAGGAGCTACAGTGGCAAAAGTCTTGAGTACTGTCTGACATACATGAGCCTGCAAACTGAAGTGTTATTTCAGCGTTTTGTTTAGTAGTAGAATAGCCTTAAAGAGAAGAGAGGAAACAAGGGGGGGGAGCGGGGGGGGAAGGGAATCAAGGGATAAAAACCTTATAAATTAAACCTAGGATTAGCCTTAAACTTTTAGTGGAATGAGCATTTGCTGTGGACAGCGCTGTACATTCTGATCTCCTGATGAGGGCAGTGAAGCTTAAACAGTATCATTTTATGATTAATTTTTTCTTTGCTGTTTTAAAAGACCAGGCATTCAGCAATGCTGGTTGCTTTGAATGCTATTCCCCAATTTCATTCTTAGGCAGGATGTATTTCTGTATCTCCCATACCTGCAACAGTAGCTGGATCTGGATTTTAAATAACTGGTGCTGGAATTTATAGTTAAATGATGTAAGGACCATTTGTTTAGAAATGCTTCTTGTTTTATAGGCTGTGGGTCCCATTTACCAAAGAAATCATGTAGACATAGAACTACATTCCATTCTTTAATAAGAAAACGTTAAGTAGAAGGTAAACTTGGAAGAGAAGTCATGCTAGCGGTGCAAAGCCGATTATTCTTCAAGATGTCCCAGAAATGTATGTTTCCAGTCTGGATGCATATCTGTTAATCAGACTAGATTCCAAACTCACTGGGGGTCTTCAAGTATTAAGCTGGCATCATTTCCCAATTGTACTCTCTTTCCTCTGTTGAAAGCCAGGGTCACATACTACTAAGCGTATGTTTCCATGTCTCTCTCTTCTGGGGCAGTGCTGTTTCAGGGTGTTCTTGTCTACCAGATACTTACTCCTGTCCCAGCTCTCCAGTTGTGCTGATAAAACAGTGGGCTGAGCAGATGAACTGAGAAATGGTTAAAAGTAAGTTTTATAGTTACTCTAAACCCAGCTGTGCTCACTGGCAAAACTGAGGAGGAAGGGTGTAAGGGAGAAGTGGTGTAAGCCAGCATTGCTGCTGCAAAGAAAAGGCTCTGTAGGATTTCCTGAAGCTGCTGCTACCGCCACAGTGAGAAAGCGTTACATGGAGCTGATCTGTGTGTAGTGACAAGTGAAAGAAGTTTATTGGGGAATGTGCCAGACAGATACCATCAGGATAAGTACAAGCTGTCACTTTCTAGCGTTGTACACAGCCTCTCAGACACAGGAGCAGGTTACAGCGGCGGCAAACTGCGTAATTCTGTCACACAGCTTAGCTCCCCTCTGCAGTCAGATGGATGCCGGACTGTAAGTCATGAGTGCCTCTGATTTACAAGAGTGTTTATTGTATCGTGAAAAATCTGTTTTATAATTAATGATCATTGAAAAGGGAAATTAACTGGAGCAATATTTGTGTTAACTGTAAACAGGCGTTACTAAATCCTCTAGCTGTATGGTCAGCAGTTTCCCAATGCTCTTCAGTCTGGTTTACGCTGATAATTTTGGCTTTGTCTGAATGAAAAAAAACAGTAATAACTGCACACTGCTCAACTCAACATATAAAGGACTGTGGGACATAATGAAAGTACTGTCCTTCAGTATAAACATTGTTTCTGCAAGGGATAGCCTGATAGTGATACGAAAAAGAGGGAGAGCAAGATTTCGTGGTAAGTGAGGACTCATAATCGCTTTGGACAATGTGTAATGCAAATGCAGCTCAACAGTCTGATACCTCACTGGCCTCTTTTTCCTGTCCACTTTGTGTACCTAGCATAATGGATGTGGGGTTTTGTTGGCCATCTTAATTCCTCCGTAAGACTTCTCTTAGGATATCACTTACTGAAAACAGACATCAAGGTGTTGATATGAAACACATGTTAATTCTCCCAGAATTTGTATAGCTTTGGTCCTTCAGTGACCAGTACTTGTGTGCTACATTGCTCCGAAGTGCAATAAGAAAGCTGGACGGTCAGTAAGTGTTTTTTAATGTTACTTTTTCTATTACTACAACAAATATGCCTTTCCATGAAGGATATGAGAGGCCTACCACCCGAAACATTTGCACTATGCTTGTAAATGGTTTCCTAAACACAGACACAACTTTTTCCTCAGTGTACATTTTTAGGTGGTACTGTAACTGGCTTTGTGATTTAAGTCTACATTGCAGCTAGATTTGTATTTCCTTTTAAACCAAGTCTACCAGTGTGGCTCATTTGTCCAGTAAAAATGCATTCTTTAGGTCCTAGGTATCTTTGCAGCCATCAACAGCCTGTTCTCCTTTTTCTCTTCTCAAAAAGATGTTGAATGTAACAGTGAAAATGGGCATAGCTGTGGGGAAAAAGGCCTGCTGCAACACTTGTGCACTGTTTGTTACTTGCTAATGTAATTATTTTGGTCTGTGATTTGGTCTTTCTGTTCTTAGAAGATGTATATATTTTCTAAATGATTTCTTTGTGTATATAAGGTATGTTCTTTAATGAAGAAAAGCAATGCAATAAGGAGCTTTGCACAGTTCGTTTTCAAACTAAGTACATTTGAAAAAGCAATCACCTGCCTAAAGATGCCATTGTTGCAACTTCTCAGCAACGTGATTTGAAGGTAGCTCTTGAATTCTGATAAAACCAGAGATGAGTAGTAAGGGCATAGACTTACCACTGAGCTTTTCCAGTTTCTTGCAGCATACCAAATCTCTTCATTAGCTATTAAGGAAGAATTCTGTAATAAATTCAGGGATTGCATTAAAAGAATCGACAATTTTATTGTTCAGGTGCTTGAGGGTATCTGTAACGAGATGCATGAGATTTTTCTTCACTGAATAAGTGTCCCCATCGAGCAAACTTTCATGGGTTTGAGGAAAACTAAAAATGCTGCAATACATCAGGAGTCTGCAAATACCTGCAAGTACATGCAGCAGATCAGAGAAAGCAGAAAACTTCAACCAGGTTTGGAATTGTGTACGACCTGCACTTTATAATCAAGCCGTTCTGCAATCATTGACATCACTTCATTGAGTAAAGAACGTCCTTTTTTACAAAAAGGTACCTTCTGTCAGCTTATTTTTGAATGTTTTGAGAACTAGAACGACATGTAGAGAATTGTTGATACATCACCTGTACATCATATTTAAATTGGTTTTATGTACTTAATCAAGGTTGTTTCGGTTAGATATGTGTGTCAAACTGGAACTTTTTTCCACTGTAAATATATGGTTTTGTTAAATAAAGTCATGTAAAGTTATCTTACTCACCTGTGGTCAGTGGAATTCAGACGTGGAAAATTCAGGTATCTGTTTCTTTCTTCACAGGCTGCTTTAGCAGTTTGAGTCCGTCCAAAATCAGGACTTTGGGACATTTGAGTATTGCAGGTGGAGGATTTTTTGGTGATGCTTTTCCATGTTCTTGTGTTAAAATACCTGTTATATTACATGTCACATCTAGAAGATTTGGCACTTACAGTGCCCATGGTTTCATCCATTTCGTATGCTTTTCTCTGAAGTCAGTCTGAGATCTGATAGATGATGAAAACCAGATGTAAATACATCTGTGTGACATGCACAGAACTCAGAAATGCATGAATACCTTCTCCTTTCTTTGTTTTAAAAGAGGAAATCTTGGGTTATTGCAGGTTTCATAATCACAAGGCATTTTTGTGCTCAAGGCAGTATTTTTAGTACTTACATAGGCATAACTTCAGAGATTAAAGTGGAGAAGCTTCCTGTTGCTTACTTAACTGCAAAGATGTTAAAGCACCAAGTAAAAGAGAGATGCAAGCAGGGGAGAGAAGACAGTACCTGTGCAACAAGAGTACATGGGGAACACAGTCAGAGACTTGGCTGCCACAGTTCTAGTTCCTCCAGTAAATGTGTGTCTCCCTTTTTCTGAAGGATTTTACTGTTTGATTTGCTGGATTAAAACGTAAAATCAGAATTGCCTCATCTAAGCCTATACTGATTTGATGCTGACAGAGCTTTATATTGCATATGTTAGAAGAGTTGCACAAAATTGCTCAAAACTGTAGTTACTTTTCCTTACCTGTTTTCCCAATACTAATTTCAGGCTGTTTGAAGAAAAGTTTCTCTCCAGTTCCCAAAAGCTTCCCCTTTGGCTGTGCCCAGAGGGAGGTGCATTTAGTGTGCAGGTGGAGTCGACACCAAGTTATGAAATCCACAGAGAGGGAGGCAGGATCAGGATCTGAGTTAGGGTTGTGGTGAGTGCTCTGTTTACACAGTGTTGCCATGGCCTACGAGGACTGAATGCTAAGGTGGTTTTCTAAAAGGGTGGAATTTGGGCTGAGGCTTTTTTTGTTTAAGGCAGGGCCACATATCTTGTTTCATTCAAAACGAGTAGCTGCTGTAATCACTGAATGCATAACACTGACCTATCACTTAGAAAAGGCTTTTTCAGGAGTACCTGTGCAATGTATTCCCCAAAACTTACCAAAAAGCAGCATGTTAAAAGTTAGAATTACAGGAATCTCCCTTATTTCTTCTCCATGCTTGCTTCTCTTTAGTTGTCCTCAGCAACAAAAGGAGAATTAGCTGCTTTGGCTTCTGTTTTCTGAATTCCCCTGCAAGTAAGGAGCAGCCCAGCATGGGGATGTGCCAGTGTTTCCGATTGCCGACTCAGCAGCTCAACCACAGCCACCTTTTCCTCACAGGCCTGAAGCAGTATCTCATTTCCAAACAACCCACATTTCTCCTGCAGTTTCAGACTGTTTCTCCACAGTGTCTTTGGCCTGTTTCATTTTGGTCAGAATCATCTCTATTCTGTGACAGGGCGGTCTTAATGTTCATTAGTTCGGTGTTTCTGCCTTGATTCTCAGCTTCCACAAACTCATTTTTTCCCTGGACTGGCTGAAGACAGAGAACAAAGCACCGTGTTCCAAACCTTCCTCAGGCTTTTCTCACTGAGGTTACCAGTCTTCTCCCTGAAGACAAGAAACACATCGACCCTCTGCCTGTTCTCCCTGAGCTTTCAGGATGGTTTCAAGGTTTTGGATGTTTC